TACCAGGTCCTCAATCCCCCAAGTCCGCGAACTTCTCTCAGCTTAGAGGTCCACCAGGGATCTCAGGCACAGTGGACCATCAGTGAAGGACCAAGTCCATCAAACACTTCTCCAACCATGCGGAAACCTAGGGTCACCACTCTGAGCTCCTGAGGCCTCCTCCCCTGTAGCTCCACCACACTTAGTGGGGCTGCTCATCCTTGTTCCAGGTTCCACAGAGGTAGACACAGGACCCTAGACCCGTCCTCTCCAGGTTGCTCTGCAGATGGCACCAGCCAGAAGGCCCCTGAGAGACTTGGGGACTCCCCTGCCTGTCAGACTGGCATCTCTTTCTCTCCCAAATATGGGGCTGTGAGTGTGCTGCTAGGAGACTAGGCAGCCCTGCCCCATGACAAAGCTGCTTCCAACCACTGTTTTTTTAATTGATTTTTTTTTTAGAGCGGAAGGGAGAGAGAGAGAAAGAAACACCAATGGGAGAGCAGAACATAGGTCAGCTGCCTCCTGCATACACACTATCAGGGATTGAGCCCACAATCCCTAGGCATGTGCCCTGACAGGGAATCAAACCAGCAACCCTTTGGTGCATGGGATGATGCCCAACCAACTGAGCCACATTGGCCAGGGCCCAACTACTTTCTTGAGAGCTTGTTTGGAGGTTCTAGCAGGGGAGCGCAGCTATTCGTATACCCTTGACCGAAGACTGGTCCTCTCCTGGGGGTGGTGGTGGGGGGGCGGGGAGGTTGTCCTCTTCGACCGAGCGCGCAGCTTCGGGAGGGACGCACATGGGTCAGTGAGGGAGGAGGGGGACACCTGCCTAGCCAGCCAGATCAGCCGAATCAACCCTGGAGATCAATGGGGTGACAGATGTGGCAGCCAGATCGCCCTCACATCCCCAACTACTTTCTTGATCCTCTTCTCAACTCCAGCTGACTGTTCCTTTGCAGGCCCCAAACCCATGCATTGTTCCAAACAGAAAGTATTTCTCTGTGTGTGGAGGGAGGGGGTTGGTCGGGGGGGGGGGGAGTGTGCAGAAAGTATAAATAGGGGTTAGGTTAGGGGTTTGAGCTTAGACTTGGGTTTATAGATTAGGGTTAAAATTAAGAGCCAGGGTCAAGGTTAAAGGATTATGGTTAGGGGGTTAGGTTTAGGGTTAAGGGTAAATGGTCAGGGGGTTAGGGATAGAGGGTTAGGTTTAAATTAGGTTTACGGATTATTGTTAGGATAGATTTAGGCTTAGAGTTAGGTTTAGGGTTATGGTTATGGTTAGATTTTAAGTTAGGATTAGTTTTAAGGTGAGAATTTGGGGGTTAGAGTGATGGTGAGGATAAGAGGTTAAGATTAGTGGTAGGGTGAGGGTGAGTACAAGGGGTTAATGTTAGGGCTAAAGTTAGGTCTAGGGATAGGGTTAAGGGTTAGGGAGAGGGGTTAGGGGTAATGGCGAGGGTAGGGTTGAGGTTTTGTAGGGATAGAACTAGTGTCACACTTCTGGTATCTCAGCATCTCTGCAGAGTCCTCAGACCCGATAAGAGTTAACTTCCTTGGTGGCTTTTCATGTGGATAAACCATTGAAAGAGCAATCTGTTTCCTCTGGGCAGCATCACTCACATAGTGACCAACCAAGGGAAAAGTCTCTGTCAATGGGATATGGGTAACCGAGTGGGTGTTAGGTTATATTAGGAGGAGGCATCATTTAGGGTTGAGTAACAGTGCGTGTGAGGAGGGTGTGGAAACAAGGTGCCCATGGACTTTGAAACCTGTGAGAAATGGGTGCTGGGTTATCTGTGGATGATCTGTCTGGATCAGTATGTCCTGCTGCTGAACCATTGTCTGGCCAGAATAAACCACCCCCAATATCAGCAAATAAAGGAAGTCCCAGGACGGGCAGGGAACTCTCCAGGCTATTCCTTCAAAGGCTTTCTGCTGAGATTCCAGGGTCACATTCCATCAAATCACTAAGGAGAGGTGTTTTCTCCTGATATCTGTGGCTGCATCTTTGATTCTAGGGACAGGAGTCCTGCACCAGGTCTGTCTCCTGGTCTCACTATTAACACCCAAGGGAATTGTGCATGACTAGGGTTTCAGTGGTAGACTTCAGCCTGGGAATACTTACTTGGATGTGGCACTGGGGTTTCTCTTCAAGGCAAGAGGGTGTTTTATGTCTTTTAAATGTTGCATGGAAAGATGATCACGTTGGTGAACATTCCTCTACCTGAAGCTCCAGAGCTAGTGCCAGCTGCATTGCCAGCTCCAACAACAGCTCAAGTGTTAGAGCCATCATCAGCCCCAGAGCTAGAACTATAGTACCAGCTCGACCAGAGCCAAATCTGGCTCTAGTATCACTTCCAGATTTAGAGACAGTACCCATTCCAGAGTTACAGCAAGTTCTAGCATAGGTGGAACCAGCTCCAGCACCAACTCTGCCAACAATTCTAGAACTAGCCACTTCTAGCACCAGTGCTAGCATGAGCATCAGCTCTAGTACAGCTTCAGAGGTAGAGTCAGCTCTAGCGTCAGCACAAATTCTAAAGCCAAAGCCAGCTTCAATGCTAAAGCCAGCTCCAGTGCCATATTTAAAGCAGCTCTAGCACCGTCTCTGGAGCTAGAGCCAGCCTCACCATTTTTGCCAGAGCTGAAGTGAACACCAGAGTTAGGGCCAACTTCAGCACCAGCTCTTGCATCAGCTCCAGAGTAAGAGTCAGCTCTGGCACCAACTCTAGAGACAGAGACTGCTATATCACCAACTCCTACGTCAGCTCCAGCTATAGATCTAGAATCATCTCTAAAACTAATTCCAAAGCCAGAGTCAGCACCAATTCTGAGCTAGAATCAAATCCAACACCAATTCTGACACTAGTTCCAAGCTGGAGTCCACACCAGTGCCAGCTTCTCCATCAGGAGGCTCTGGCATGAGCTACAAAGCTAGAGCCAGTGCCAAATCCTGAACTAGAACTAGTCTTAGTACCAATTCTAGCACCTGCACCAGAATTAGGTCCAGCACCAGGTCTACAAACAACCCGAGATAGAGACAGACCTATCACTACCTCCCAAGCCAGCTGTAGCACCAGCCAGCTCTAGCAGCAACTCCAGAGCTCCATCACCAGATCCACAGCTAGGGCCTGCTTTAGCATGCACTCCTGGGCTCTAGTCAGCTCCAGCACCAGATCCAGAGGTAGGATGAGACCCAGCTCTGGCTGTAGTTATTATCATTTTCAGAAGAACAACTTTTGCTTTATTTTTTTTTTCTGTTCTCTATTATTCCCCTTCTGTTCTAATATTTTTTAGCTTTACTTTTTTAGTTCACAATGGGCATCTTCTGACTCTTGGCAATTGCCAGCCTCAGGACCACTTCTATAGGGTGTGGCTCATCAGGTAGCTAGACAGAAGTGGCCCTAGCCAGCCAGGCACCTCCCTCCCAACCTGCCCAGCCCAGGCCACTTCCAGACTTGTCTCACCATTAGACCTCTGTTCTGGCTGTGTATGATGCCAGACTGTTGACAGGCTGACCTGGATTCCTAGGGCTCACTTGCTGCTTTGGGTGCCTATTGCTCTCTGGGAACCAGAGGACTAGCTGTCCCTTTGCAGGTACAGGTGGGTTCCTGTCACCTAGGCCCATAGGCAGCCAGAGCACCCACTAGGTCTGAAGACTGCAGTTCTCATGTCTACATTACCTGCCTGTGAACTTCCCAGGGTCCTGGCCCAGCCTCTCACCTCTCTAGCCTTTGTCAGCACATGGAATTGCAAAGATCCTATCATCAAGTCTTGCCTACCCCTCCTCTGGGAGAGACCCACCCATCACATAAGTGGCTCTTCACCAGGTGAACAGGAGACAGCGAAGTCCCACTGATGTTCTCTGGCTCCCCTGCAAGTGCCAGACACAAAGGATTTTGAGACCACAGGAGATGGGGTCAGTGGGAAGGGAAGATTTCAGAGGAGATATGATTGGATTTTTGTATAAAAGGTAAAAAAAAAATCTTATTACAATATTGGTTGTGAAAAGTGAAAGCTACACTTGAGTATTATATTGAAGTACTAGAGGTCCAGTGCACAAAATTAGTGCAGTTGGGGGGGGGGTGCCCCTTGCCCAGCCTGCACCCTCCAATCTGGGACTCCTCGGGGATGTTTGACAGCCAATTTAGATCCCTGTGGGATCGGGCCTAAACTGGCAGTCAGACATCCCTCACAATCCGGGACTGCTGGCTCCTAACCGCTTGCCTGCCTGCCTGGTTGCCCCTAAATCGCTTCTGCCTGTCAGCCTGATCCCCCCTAACCGCTCCCCTGATGGCCTGATTAACACCTAACTGCTCCCCTGCCAGCCCAATCGCCTCCAACTGTCCTCCCCTGCCGGCCTGGTAGCCCCAAACTACCCTCCCCTGCCGACCTGATCTCACCCCCAACTTCCCTCCCCTGCAAGCCTGGTCCCCCACACCAACTGCCTTCCCTGCTGGCCTGGTTGCCCCCAACTGCCCTCCCCTGCTGGCCTGATCTCTCCCCCAAGTGGCCCTCCTCTGCTGGCCAATTTGGTTCTGACTAGTCTCTTTCTATGCCAATCAGCATCAAAAGCTCTGCTTCCTAGGCAGCCATTGGCTCCTCACACTTCACCCAGATTTGGTTCTGACTGGTCAGTTTCTATGCCAGTCAGCGTCTCTGGGCCTATCAATGGGGCCTGATCAGAAAGGTGGGGCTGATCAGTAGCCCTAGTGGAGGCCTGGAGAGAAATGGAGGCGCAGCTGCTGGAGAGAAAGAGAGAGGCAAGTGCTGATCAGCAGCTGCCACAGAGGCTACTTCTTCTCTCTTCAAGCCTCTCTCCAGGCCTGATTTGCACACCCCTCAGCAGTCAGTGCTGGGTCGCCATGGCAACCCAGCGCTGACTGCAGGACTGACTTCCGGTTGGTTGAGCCTCTGGTCATGATGGACCAGGGTTTTTACATATTAGGATGTTTCTACTATAGCCTGGAAGTTGTGGTTTTGCTCTTCATTTCCTGTTAAATCAGACTCATTCCTTGTAAGTTTTGCAGAACCATTCATTTATTTTAGGTGGGAGAAGGGCCAGCTCCCTCCCTGGACCTGAGGCACATGCCCAAGTCTCACTTCCTCAGAGGACAGGTTCATTCCAGTGTTGTGAACCTGGGCAAGGAGCAGAGACAGCCCCTCAGAATTCCTGGGATTAGAGGTTGAAGGTACTTACACAGGCAGAGCTACAGCCCCTGAAATTGGGCGTCTTTAAAAATAGCACTTGTCAGGGCCACTTCCTGCCCCAGGACAGTGGCTGCCTTTCTACACTTTGAGGAAAAAGGGACACTTTCTGCTTCCCTTGCTGAGGTATCTTTTGACTGCCAACTGGGGAACTCTAGTTTTTAAGGTCAAACTGGAATTCATCAGCACTAAATGGGAAAAATTGTAAAATAGATTAAAACATACAATGTAGAAAGGAAAAGGCCAGAGGAAGATTAGCCAAGAAAACGAGGGCAGGCAGGACTCCATCCTGTCCCAAGGGCCCTGCAGTTGGCCTTTCACCTAGATTTGAATCGTCCTGGGAGAGAACCTCTAGCCGCCCACCCCCTCAATTCAGGTACAGTGTTCACTCCCTTCCTGCTCGCCCTGAGGAATGTGCTTCCATTTTGTCATGGGGGTGTAACCTTTGCAGTGGGGTGAGCTGATAGATGTAGCCTGGTGGGCAGTGGGGAGTGCAAGCAGGACTGATGTCACAAGCAGCAGGACACATCATTACCAATTGAATACTGCAGTGCTTCCAACCCTAGGGAAAGACACCTATCTTAAGCTCACATGAGCACTCTCTGGGGCTTTCCCCAGGATCAGGGCTTAAGGGCTAACAGCAGACTCAGCAGGGAGCTTCTGGGACAAACACAACCTCCAGTCTATCACTTATTTTAAGAGCTCCAGAATATACAGCATGTAAAGGCAGGAGCAGGGTGAAATGTGGGGCAGTTGAGTTATCCCTTCCCCCATGATGGCTACAATTATCCCCTGTGCAGGGCCCAGTGACTGTGCAAGTAGATATAGTAGAGAGCAAAATGGTGCAAGTGACTGTTCAACCAGTGATTGTGAGGTGATTATTGATGGCTTAGTGGAACTCGGATAGTGTAGGACTAATGTTCAAGGAAAGACTGAATTGACATGCATCAGTAGTTGTTGACTTGCAGTGAATGTGCAAGCACTGGTTCACAGTGGTGCAGTATGGGAGCTGGAAAGAGCAGAATGGTGAATAGCGGATGGTAACCAGAAAGTGTTCAGAGTGGCTCTTGCACAGGGAGTGTGCAACAAGATACTGTTTAACAGCACACGGTGGCTGTGAAAAGCGAGTTGTGAGCATTAGAAAAGCAGCTGTTAAATGCCACAGAGGGTGTGCTGGAGGAAAAGTTGGACGGAGTGAGATGCATGCACACAGATTGGTTGTTGAGCTGCACATGGTGAGTGGGTAAAAGTTGACTGTGAATGGCAAACACTGGGTGTGCAAAGTGTGAGGTTGAATGGAGAATGAGACCGTGACTCTTGAATTACACAGAGTGTGCAGTTATTAAATAGTAGAGAGGGCATGCAAACAGTGGAAGTAGGTTGGTATAGAACAAGTGTGCAATGGGTGGTTGCAGAATTACACAGCGATATGAATAGTTTAGTCACACACTGTGGCAAACCCATGGTTGAAAAACACCCAGGAGCCCTAGCTGGTTTGGCTCAGTGGATAGAGCGTCGGCCTGCAGATCGAAGGGCCCCAGGTTCGAATCTGGTCAAAAGGACGTAACTTGGTTGCAGGCTTCTCCCCAGCCCAGGCCCTGGTCGGGGCTCATGCGGGAGGTAACCAATCAATGTATTTCTCTCACATCAATATTTCTCTCTCTCTAAAAATCAATGGAAAAATATCCTCGGGTGAGGATTAAAAACAAACAAAACACTCAGGGAATTGTACTGAGGGAGTCAAATGGAAGAGCATGGGTGCAGGCGAGTACACCAAGGGGGTGTTATTGGATTGCCTGTAGTAACTGTGCAAGGAGACTGCTGAATGTCAGTGTGGGTGTGTTAAGAAGTGGGTGCTGGAGTAAGCAGTGACTGCTGAATCCAAATGAACAAGCAGGGTGATGACACTGGTCATATTTATATGCCAAAGTGGCAAGGCCACAGCACCACTTGGTCAAACACCAGTGTGGCTACGCCCTCAAAGGTTTTTAGATGAGATTCATGTTTAACTCAGCAGACTGAGTAAAGCAAATGACCCTGCCATAATGTGGGTGGGCCCTGTCTAATCAGTTGAGGCTTTAAGAGCAAGGACCAAGGTTTATGAAGAAGCAATTTTGCCTCCAGACTACAACACAGAAACTTTGCCGGAGCCCAGCCTTTGGATCCAAGAATATAATGTCAACTCTTCTCTGGGGCTCCAGCCTTCTCTGCCGATTCACACTCACCAGCCCCATCTCTTTTCATACAGCTTGGTTCCGCTTCCCTGGAGAGCATGCATACCATCACAGTGGCACACAGGTGTGCAGGGGGTAGCAATTGGATGGTGCAAATAAGCATGCGGAGGTTAAAATGTAGAACAGTGTGTAATAATTGATTTGCTTGGCACAGAAGAGATGTGTAAGTGTTGGGAAATGGAAAGAATGAGTGTGCAGAATGGTGATTGCAACAAGTAGGTGGGTGGTGCAGAATGGATGTGCAAGGTGTGGAAGAGGCCTGGGCTCCATCTGGCCTACAGGTAGATCCTCTTACTGCTGGTTGGGAGCAAAGGGCTGTCCCTGAATGAAGTCTCTGAAGGGGAAGGTGTTGCTGCAGCAAGCAAAAGAGAGGCAACAGGTGTTCTGACTTGCCACTTACTGTCAGTAGGGCTGAGTGTCCCCTGAATACAGTGCCGGTGATACCTGAAGGGTTGGCCTAGAGCACAGACCAATATGACATCTCTGGCTCAGGACCTTGCCAAGGGGGCGAGGGGCCAGTGGAGAAAAGGAGGGAGCTATTTGAACAGTGCTTCGAATGTGGGATAGACATAGGTCCTGCAGCATGGAGGTGCCTTGGGCCCGTCTCTACCCAACTCCAGGGGGCTTGCTCCAGAGGAATTGGCGTGGACTCTGGGGGGTGTGATGCTACTGTAGAGTGGGCATGCAAGACAATTCGTTACCCTGTGCTGCTGTGGATGGGAAGCCCATCAGCTTGGTGCTGGTCTCTGCGAAGGGCAGGCTAGGGACACCAAGAAAAATCAGCCACATGCTGCTCACACTCCTGAGTCCCCAGCATACCCACAGCCTTGCCACAGGTCCAAGCTACCAACTCTTCACCCACCCCCTCACCAGATCTGAGTCCTCAGTCCTGCTGGGCTTTCCAAGGACAAGGAACCTGGACCCTCTGGACAGGCACTGAAGTCTGGGATGCCAGGACAGTACCAGACCCTTAAGAGCAGGAACCATATCTGGGAGGCTACATGTCCCAGCCCACAGAGGATGGAGCTTTATTTCTGAAAGGGACCCTGGCGCAGGGCCTTGAGGGTCCTTGTCAGGCTGCCAACTAACGCTCATGGCACACACTAAAGAGGCTCTGTGGTGGCCAGGGCCTCCTGCAGCTGCTGTAGGAGGTCCTCTGGTTGCGGCAAAAACCTGCTGGTGTCCACTCTCTGGAAGTCGGGGTTGACCACCACAGATGCCAGCACCTCAGCAATCCGGCTGATGTCGAAAATGGTGTGCTGGAGGCCCAGCCCAAAGTCCTCACTGCACTGCAGTTCACCAGGGCCTATCTTCTTCACTAGGAGGAGCCTCCTTTCAGCAATGACCTTGAGGAACTGGTAAAATTCTTCAAAATTAATTCCAGAGCAGGACTTCATGATGACCTGGAGCAGAAAGGAGAGGCCAGTGAGCTACTGCTCACCTGCAACTCTAGGCAAGTTTCTGCTGACTGTGGACAGAGTCCCAGCTGCAAAGGATCCCAAGCCATGGACCAGTTTTTGAGGATGGAGACAGATACCTGGGGGCCAGCCAGTGATGGATTGGTCTGAGCCCTGGTTATCTGCCTCAGCCCCAGATTGACCCTCTTACCAGCAGACCAGGTAGCCACCTCACCCCCCACTGCAGCCTGTCTCTGGTGAGCTCCCGCCAACCTCCCACGCCTTGGCCTCTCCCTGTCCCCAGTCTTGTCCAGGCCAAACACCCCACCTGGCAGTGGTGGTGCCAGTCTGGCATGGTGTCCCTCCACTCGCTGACTTCTTGCTGCACGGCACACAGCTCCTGCTGCAGGAAATGCCACATGTTGGCCAGGTTACAGCCATTGACCCAGTTATGGTTGATGGAGATAGTGTCCTCCTGGAAGAGGCAGATTGCATGCTGTCCCCAAAAGCCCACAGGGGCACTGTCCCCTCCCCCATCCTGAGGCCCTCCCAGCCCTCCTCAGCTGAGAAAGGCTCACCCTCCTATCTCCCAGTGGGTGTCAGCAGGCAAGAGGGAACCGAGTCTGGGACCATCTGAGTCCATAGCTAGTCCAGGGTGAGGCTCCCCAGGGGCTGGACAACCCTACTGTGTGAGGACTAGGAAAGTAATGTGGGAGGGATGGAACCCTTAGCAGTGCTGTGTGGGGTCAACAAGCCTACACATGGGCCCAGCCTCACTATGGCCTGCCTTACCACCCAGAGGGACAAGCTGCCAACTGTGGAGTCAGTAGGGACGCCACAGCCCTCTATCCTCAGGAAGCATCAAGAAAAGTCCAAGAGCAGGCTGAGAGGCCCAGTTGAAAGGGGGTCAAGGCCAGCCTGGTAAAACCCCATGGCATCTCTCCCTGCCTGCCCAGACTACCCCTTGGGCACGTGAAGCAGGGTGTACCCACCCTACCAGATTGTGGACTTGGTGGTGCCACCCGCTGGGCACAAACACCATCTCGCCTGCCTCCTGCGTGACCTCTAGCACAGGATGCAGGTGGCTATCCAGGAATTCAGGGGCGGTCACATCGTAGGGTAGGCCACCGTGGCAATCCCGCAGGGCTTCTTCTTGCCCTGGTGGGAAGAAGAACCACTTTTTCCTCCCGCAGATGTTGACAGACCAGCTGAAGGAGCGGAAAATGTCGGCATGGAACGGCGACCTGCGAAGAGTCCCTGTTGATGTCTCATGGCCTGGGCATGGGCTTTGGTTCTTCCAAATAAACTGGCCACACTCAGAGGCTCAAGGTCCCCAGCTCTCACACCTATCTGTGAGCCACACGGGTGAGCCAGACCTTCCCCACTTCAGAATATCCCGCAGGAGGGACACAGGTTCTGAGCAGAGCCACGAAAGAAGGAAATGGGCTTGGAAATGCCAGACCTGGCAGCTGACTCCCTGGCCTGGCCAAGAGCAATCTCACAGAGGCTCTGAGAGTGCCCACATGGCTCAGGAGAGTGATCAGGGACAAGGTGCAGGGCAGTGGGTGGGAGTGGATACACGGTTACCAGGTGCCAGCGGGCCCCATGTAGATGAAACGGTAGTCGTCCACGTCCAGGGTGTCCCAGTACTCGTTGAGCCAGTCGGACGAGAAGTACACGGGCAAGGTGAATAAGCCCTCGGCAGAGGAGTACCTTCAGAGAGCAAGTGGCATGAGGATGCTGCCATCTCCATGCTCCCAAACCCAATGGTCACTGATATGAGGGCCCCTGAGCTGCCTTCCAGGGCCAGCACCAACTGCCAGGCTGAGTGGGGCCACTTCATATGACCCAACCCTGGTTCGTCCATCAGATGACCCTAGCTGAGCTCACCCAAAATCTGAACCAGGGTGATAAGTAGATGAGACGGCCGAGGGGTGCTGTGACAGGGTTAGACCACCCATGGAGGTAGCAACCCATGTGCTCTGGGCCCTCCAACACATGGTCCAGGATTTCAGACTGTTGGATTTTAGAGTTGGGTTCTAAATGCATTATTGGAATTACACTGTCTTCTGAACTTGTGGGTCGCTTCGGTGTTTTTACCCATACCAGTGATCTTGACTTTGCTGAGCAGACACAAGGCCACAGGCCCTGGCACAAGGACTGCCATGAACACCAAGGTCCTTTTCACCCTCAGCCTCTCAAATCCTTACTCCATTGGTGGATCCCACAACCCAACTATAGGCTCTCAAACACAGGAGCATGTTAAACCTGCCCAAGGGAGAATGCCAGGCAGGCTCACACATCATGCTTGGTCAGAGGCCAGGAGGAGAACCCTGTACCACCAAACCACTTGGAGTTCCCCCAACACCATGCCTTGTGCACTCAGACCCCTGCCCATTCACAACCCCTGTTCAGACAGTGCCTCCCATGTCTGCCTAGCTCAGGCCTGCTCTGCTCTCTTCATTTTACTGTTGCCAGAACACTCAGTCAAAACCTAATTTCAAACAAACAATGAAGTTTTTAGTACAAGTGTGCCCCATGCACACTGGGATATATTTACACCAAAAAACAATAAACAAATAAAAAAAACCCCCACTCATTGCTTATCTGAAGCTCAAATCCACACTGCATAAGCATCAGGGCCTATGAGTGCCCGAGGGCCAGGATCAGTGTCTGGTCACACCTTAACCACTGTCTACACAGAAAGTTCCATGCCCAATACAAAGAGCTGTGGCAGGAACACGGAGGACATGCTATGGGTGCTGTGGGTGGGGGCTGGCGCTGGCGTGTCTCGCGTATTCTAGCAGTGGTCTTAGAATCATATGAGCCTTAGTTCTAGTCTCATTTTACCTTTGTGAGCCTTAGTTTCCACATCAGCAAACAAGAATTCAATTTGTGCACTCATTCATCCAACATTAATTAAACACCTTTGTGCCAGCTAAGGGGAGTCTGATTAGGATGGTTTCTGCTGGTGAAAAGCATGCCCCTGGGTAGGGGAGATGGAAACAAAACCAGAAGACCCCTTAGAAAGTGGTCACAACAGTGAAAGTGAGATGTTTTCAGAGCAGCATCGCTTGAGCTCCCAGGTGGAAGTGTGTAGAAGGGAGCAGACAAAGAAAGTCCTCTTTGGAGAGTTGGTGCTGCTCAGCAGTGATGGCGATTTTAAGCAGGTGGGCCACAGTTCTGCTGGAAAGGGCAGTTGGACCTTAGTGAGCCTAGCAGTGGGGTGCAGGGCTCAGCAGGCAGCCAGTCAGGAGACTGGCAGCACAACAGGCTGGACCTAGAGAAAGAGGGCTGGAAAGGGAGGCTGATTCCAGGGGGCATCTGAGCAGAGGAAGGCAGGCTGGGTGCTGCCAGTTAGATGGAAGTGCTGAGCAAATGTGACAAAGATGTAATTACCAGAGCCCACCTGCACCTCCACCAATCCCGCTTCTTCACAGCAGCCAACTGCGTGCATACCATGATTTGGCCACACAGTGCTGCAGAGCTGGATTTTTTTAATATGGATTAAAATTCCTAACTGGGGAAAAGAGGAGATCCCCTGTGTGCAGCCAGGACTCACTCAAGCCTGGAAAAAGCAGTGCCGTGGCCATTGCACCACACCTTTACCTGCACAGGTGCCAGTCTTTGAGGTAGAGACAGCCCCGAGGAGAGGAGTAGTCTCTCTGGATGAACTCTTTCCAGTAGCTGATGTAATCTTTGAGGGGCATGTGTTCTTTAGGGTTCGAGTTGTATTCCTGGACCCCGCAGTTTGCCACAGGTACAACTACATCTCCTGAAAAGGGAGGGTCAGGCACATACTTTTCTGAGTCCTCCAGCTTCTTCATTCTCTGATCCTGCCCACCCTCCAACTCACTGCTTATACCGTCTCCGCATGAATTCCTTTGGGAACCCACTCATGCCTTCTCCCCAAACCCTCGGTGGCTACCCTCATTTGCGGCCCTTGTAATATGACTAAGGGAATCTGGCAGGAGGAGAATAAGAGGACCCTGCTCTAGCCCTGTGCTTGCGTTCGCCCTCAGTCCTACCATAATTCTGAAGCAGGTAATCGAAGTCGGGCTTCCCACTGGGTGTCACCCAGTGCTTCCTGCTGCCCCAGTCCTCGGTGAAGGCGCTGGAGAAAACACAGGGCACGTTGGGGAGCAGGTAACTCTTGAAGAAGTCCGTGTAGGAAAAGGAGTCGGGCTTCTCGATAAAGTCCACGCGGTCCGGGGTCGGGCAGACCTTGCTGGGGAGACGCCCCCGGAGGCCTCGGAAATGGCTCTCGGCGAACACGCGCGTCTCCCTGTCCATGCCACGCCAGGCTCTGCATCCATGGGGTGCGGGGCTGCTGAGGGCGGAGGGAGCGGCTCAGGAGGGAACAAAGTGTTCCATCCGGGGATGGAGAAGTTTCGGGCGGGGAGGATCGGGAGGGGAGGGGAGGGTCTACCGAGAGCTGAGGGGCTGGGGGCGGGGGGGCCGGGCCGGGCAGCTTCGGAGGACTGAGTGCCAGTGCCGCCGCCGCCGCCGCCGCGAAGCCGGAAGCCGGCCTCGGGACTCCCACCGCCAGGCGTGTTAACCTGGGAGGTGAAAGGAAGTACTTCTTAAAACTACTTCCGCACAGACGCCTTGGGTACCCGCGCGCTGGCGGGAACGAGATAGCGAGGCACACACCAGCGCCAGAGGAACCAAGACGCCCCAGACAGAGTTCCTGCCGGAGCCGGTGCCGCGGAGCGCAGGGCCCTGAGCGCATGCGCACAACGCGGCGGCTCTCCCCGGTGCCGGTACGGCGGCCTGGGACGGCCCTCAAACACCCGACCGAGCTCCGGTCCACACCGCGCCTGAGCTTTTCAAACGGCGCCCACCCCGTGTCTCGTCATCTTCGCGCCTCAAGACTCAGGAGCGCGTCGTCCCTAGTCTATCTGGCAGTGAGGACCCCTCCTCTTTCCAGTGCCCCAGGGACTGCGGTAGGTGGTGGGTTGTGGGCCGGGCTGAGAAAGGGACAGAAGGGCCAAAGGTGGGGTACTGGGGGATAGTGAAGGACTAAGGAGATGATGGGGGACCTGGAGAGGACGGTGGGGGCGCAAGGGGAATAAGAGGGCCTAGGACTAGGGAGATTGTGGGAATCTAGAGGAGATAATGGGGGCGTATGGTGCTGGTGGAAACCTGGAGGGAATAATGAAGGGCCCTAGACTCTAGGTCAAGGAGGACTCTAGGAGCCTAGAGGAACCAGGGGGACCTGGAGGGGATGATGGGAGCCTAGGGGGGATGGCGGAGACCTGAAGGATGGGGGAGGGGGGTTGGAGAGAGAGCGGGGACTTGGAGGGGTTGGTAGTTGCCTGGAAGATGCTAGGAGGGATTGTGGAGTAATAGGAAGACTTGAAAAGAGGGTGTGGTGATCAAGGATGGGGATTTGAGCTTGCATATCCCACAGGCCTAAAATGGAGGGACATGAGTGGAAAGGTGGTGGGGGTGACATTTCACGTCTCAACATATGGGAGAAATCAGTGTCCTACCCTCACAAACCTACCCACCTCAGCATGGAAAGAAAGAAACCAGACTCGTTACTGTGTGAACTTGTCAGATTGAATACACGTATGTGGAGCGTCAGCAAGAGAGAACAGAGTTGGGCACAACTTCACACATCTCCAACATAGTAAGGCAGAAGAAAAAACAAATAAGACCTCTCTCCCATTTCTTGGAGGGAAAGATGCATCCTCCCTCCCCCTCATGCTCCCTTCCTCCTCCCCTCCCCTCTCCCTTCCCTCCTCTCCTGCTTCCTTCCCTCCTTCCCTTTTCCCTCACCCCCTTCCCCTTCCTCTCCTCCTTCCCCTCCATTTCCTCCCCTTCCCCTTTCCTCTTCCTTTCTACTTTCTTTAAAAAGCAATGGAAAAAATATCTTTGGGTGAGGATTAACAACAACAAAAAAGAACATGGGAGAGATGGGACTGGGGGTGGATATTGTGTGGCAAGTGGAGCAGTGGGAGGTGTGTGATCTGTGTCCCATCTGCCTGTGTGCTTAAGGTGTGGCATTCTTCATTGGGCTGGTTAGTTTAGGGCAGACAGTGAGAACACAAGGGGAAGGCTAAATGGAGAAAAACAGTCACCCATAATCCCATCCAGAGATGAGCATGTTTTCCATTTTGATGTAGAGCTATCATTCCAGATATGTGTTCATTCATTTATTCATTCCTTTGTATTCTCTTCCTCCCTGCACACTCACACAGTTGTGGATCATGGGGGGCAGAGGGGCAAAGTATTCACAAGTATGCTAGTATAAAGATTTGGGAAATATGGGTCAAAGTTTTCCCCATGGGAGAAATGAAATTCAGTTGGGTATTGCCTGGGAGGAATCCAGCTCCTGAAGGTGTGTGGTTGAGAGTAAATTTCCTAAGAAAGGAGAGGCTTTGGGCCAGCAGGTCCACATGCTCCCCAAGGTTGTCCCTCAAGGGTAAGAGATAGGCCCTTTTTTGAGCATTGGCTGTTCCAGGCATTTGTGTTGTATTTCGCTTAGCCCACACGGTGACCTAGCACGAGCAGTGTCAACACCACTGTACACACAAGTCTCTGACAGAACCAGTGAGAGCAGGTCTGTGTCCCTCAAAGGCCACTAGACGGCAGCCTTAGCATCACCTGGAACTGGTGAGAAATGTACATGCTTGGGCCCCACTCAGACATACTGTGGTCACATCCTGGGGAGTCACATCCCTCGGGTTGGGTACTTCCCTGTGAAACACCCCTCAGAGGGTCAGCAAGAAAACAGCAGGAGGGAGTTTAAAAGTAAGCACTTTGTAGTGCTTACTTTTGTAGGAAATGCAGTGGGAATTACATAAAGTCCTATTTACTCTGAGGAGCTAGTAAGATGGGGCACGCCCTGTGAATACACCATGCTGCTACAGTAAAACATCCAAATAGCACTTGGAACCTCCCAGGTTGAAAGTGGGTGCCTCTGAGGAGCAGGAGATGAAGGTAATGGAAAAGGCTGGCCATGGCACTTGGAGACACTGCTCCCACTGTTCTGACTCTAAGCCTTCTTGTGGTCAGGAGTTATTGGAAGGTGTGTAAAATGTTGCTGGTTCTGTTACTCTGGAAATTAACTAAAAATAGGTGTTTACTTGATACTTTTTCACTGTAGGCACAGTTCTGATGCAAGAACTGAAAGAGATGTTATACTAAATACCGTGCATCATAAGTGTGGTCCAGTAACCTAGAGCATCATTCTGCCGATGAGCTCCAAACATCCTTGGGAGCCTTGTCATGACCTTCCCTTCCCATTTCAGCTCTACTTTCAGGGTTCATGCAAGTCTGTAAGTCTTTCACTAGAAGATGTAGGTTCTAGATTACAGCGGGTGAGGACCAAGTAAGGACTCCAGAACTCAGCATATATTGGACCTGCATCAGCACATAAAGGAGGAAAGCAGTCCACAGTGGACAGTTGATGTTTCCACATGGCATGGGATTCACTTAGCACAGTGCTGATGAACCTATGACACGCGTGTCAGAGGTGACACGCAAACTCATTTTTTTGGTTGATTTTTCTTTGTTAAATGGCATTTAAATATATAAAATAAATATCAAAAATATAAATCTTTATTTTACTCTGGTTGCAAATATCAAAAAATTTCTATATGTGATACGGCACCAGAGTTAAGTTAGGGTTTTTCAAAATGCTGACATGCCGAGCTCAAAAGGTTCGCCATCACTGACTTAGCAGATAATTCCTGGGTGCCTGGATGTGCTGGCACTGTGCACAAGGCAATCTCTGCATGATTGCTTCTCCAGTATGCAGACCCAGTTGTCCCTCATGTGAGCACATTTATAGGCTCTTAAGAGTTGTGGTGAGTGCTGTGGTTGATGAGGGCTCCATGATGAGGCTCCATTTTGGGAGAGATGATGTCACTGGGGCAAAGGCCATTCAGTGTCCTGGAGCAGCAGGTTCAGGGTTGACCAGGGCTGTGAGCATGCTGCTGTGATGGAGGCCTGAGATACTTGGCCCCCGACATTTGTCAGACATGAAAACACTGAAAACCATGGTGACACTGATGTCATAGTCAACCCCTAATTCTGAAAGTAGAAACCTTTGGCATTTTTCACAATCTAGCAGGTTGTGTGCATGGTAGGTATGTTGGTCATAACCGGCTGGGGCCTGTGGCACCTGCGTCCTGTCCTGTGAGAGGTCAGTCCCACGCAGCAATGTTCGGCATTTTGTCTGTGCTTGCCTCAGAATACCCAGGTGAGTGCCCCTCTCACTAGGGAGAAAGGGCTGATGAAGATGCAGGTGCCTTAAGGTTCCCTGTCTCCTGCTTGAGCCGTTGGCATAGAGGAAAGGCAAGACCTTGCTCCCATGATGAGCTTCTGCAAGGTCCAGCGTGTGTGGAGAGCTCATAGGTCAGGTCCTTCAAGAAGATAACACTGTCCTCTGTTCAGAGGTCAGGAGTCAAGACAGCTGAGGAACTCCTTGCTGACTTGCCAGTGACATAAGAGCGTGGACTTTCTGGCTCCTTCAGAGTCTCCTGGGATGAGAGTGTGAGGCTGTTGTTGCCTGCATTTTTATTTTATCTTTTCACCCTTTTTTTTCTTTTTAAATCTTTACTGTTGAGAGTATTACAGATGTTCCCATTTTTCTCCCCCATTGCTCCCTCTCCCCCTCCCCCCACCCCACCTGGTTCCTATCACGCCCTGCCCCAGGCCTTTACCACCCTTTTGTCTGTGTCCATAGGTAAGATCTTTGGTTAATCTCTTCCTGCCCCCTACCCCCTTCCCTCTGAGATTTGTCAGTCTGTTCCATATTTTCATGCCTCTGATTCTATTTTATTCACCAGTTTATTTTGTTCATTAGATTTCTTCTTGGTTTATTTTGATTTTCAGATTTAATTGTTGATAGATATGTATTTATTGCCATTTTATAGTTCATATTTTTTATTTTCTTCCTCCTCCTCCTCCTCCTCCTCCTCTTCTTCAAAAATACCCTTCAACATTTCATGTAATACTGGTTTGATGGTGATGAACTCCTTTAGCTTTTTCTTGTATGTGAAGCTCTTTATCTGACCTTCAATTCTAAATGATAGCTTTGCTGGGTAAAGTAATCTTGGTTGTAGGTCTTTACTATTCATCACCTTGAATATTTCTTGCCACTCCCTTTTGGCCTGCAAAGTTTCTGTTGAGAAATCAGTTGATAGCTGTATGGATGCTCCCTTGTAGGTAATGGGCTGCTTTTCTCTTGCTGCTTTAAAGATACTCTCTTTGTCTTTAACCCTTGGCATTTTAATCTGATGTGTCTTTGTGTGGGCCTCTCTGGGTTCCTCCTATTTGGGACTGTCTGCACTTCCTGGACTTATAAGTCTATTTCTTTCACTAGGTAGGGGAAGTTTTCTGTCATTCTTTTTTTTTTTTTTTTTTTTTTTTTTTTTTTTTTTTTTTTTACAGTTAAGCCTTTTTATTTAAAACTTGGTATTGGACGTTAACTTTTGCACAGTTCTGAGCACTATTAACAATATCAGTAAAGTATTTTGACAGATCAATGGAAAGTTAAAATTC